TTCAAGTAAGAAATAATTATAAAAAATCATTGAAAAAATTACTTTCACGCAAATTAAGCAATAAAGCATATTCCTAAGCTGTATCAAAGATTCTACCTACTTCAAAAGATTAAAATTAAAATAAAACAAAGAATAAACAATGATTATATGGTAAACTGTTGATGGATGTAGGATCTGGGATAAATTTTGTTGTTTATACTGGTAGTGTAGGAACTAGGAACTTCATAATATTTCATATTTGTCCATTTTTCAGTTCTAAGCTATGACTTAGGCTTGTTGTGTTTCATCTTGTGTAAATAAAAGTTTACGTCTTCTTATCTTAGAATAATCATGTCAAGTTTGGCCGTAATTTGACCTGGATTCTATACCTATAATTAAATGTTCCACATTTTTGGCAAAATGCTTAATTTCGATTAATTGAAATATGCAAAACAATGATAGTCAAATTTAAAAAAATTGGTGGATAACAAGTAGTCATGAAAATAATATTATTATGTTCAGGAATTAAACTAATGTTTCTTTATAGTTTTGAGGTAAATAGTGAGATTTTTACAAAGGGAGTGAGTGAAAATCAGAATGACAATAATGAATTATTTAGGAAAGCTGCTTTAAGGTAATGAAATAATCAATCTTTCAAAATATTGGCAATAGAAATGGAAGTGCATCCCCAGACAATACTCTAATGTGTTTTATCAATTAAACATCAAACTATTTCCATTAAATAAACTTGGAATCATTAATTCTCCCATTTTTCAAAATCAACAAATTTGCCGACAAAAAATTTCATAATCACTTTAAAGAAGCTAGTTTTTATAACCAGCACCCAAAATATTAAAAAAAAAAAACACACTTTAATTTAATACAATATAAGAATATATGTAGATACAGTAAGATCTAACATATAGAGTATTGTCTGGGTAGATCATGTAAAAATGCATTTTGTTTGTTATCAACCTACCTGCCAGTCAGGGTATAGCTGTATATGCAGCAAATTAAAACTTTACATCTTAAATAAGATAACTATAGCATAAGAATCAGTAGTTTTAAGTGGTTGTCAAATACCCTTTTAAACAAGAGCCATGTCAACATGGCCATCCCCCGCCGAATGTGTTTGCTCATTGGAAGAATGTATATGTAGTAGAACAGAATAATTCTATTTTAAGAGGTCTTTTGGTTATGAAAACTGATGGCTATAGTGATTACAGATTTGAAACCTATGTGAATACTGATGAATGAAAATAACAAAGGGCAATAACTGAAAAATAAAGCAGGGTAGGTTATCATTCTTGTGTGCTGCATCCCTCCTCAGTAAAATCTATCCACCTATGAAGTTTCAAGTTGATACCTCAAATACTTTTTGAGAAAAAAATTGAATTGAAAAATTAAGTATGAAAAATAACAAAGGGCAATAACTCAAAAATTACAAAAGGTAGAGTTATCATTCTTGTGCAGTGCACACCTCCTGAGTTAGATCTATGCACCTATGAAGTTTCATTTTGATATCTCAAAGGCTTTTTGAGTTATGCTCTGGACAAAAATTAATTTTGAAAAAATAACAAAGGGCAATAACTCAAAAATAATACTGGGTAGAGTTATCATTCTTAAGCACTGCACTCCTCCTCAATGAGATCCATCCACCTTTGAAGTTTCAAGTTGATACCTCAAATACTTTTTGAGATAAGCTCTTGACAAAAATAGCATAAAAAAACAAAGGGCAATAACTCAAAAATTGTATAGGGAAGAGTTATCATTCTTGCGCACAACATTCCTCTCAATAAGATCTATCCACCTATGACATTTTATGTTGATATCTCAAACATTTTTTGAGTTATGCTCCACTCAGGTGAAAAATTAGGTATGAAAAATAACAAAGGGCAATAACTCAAAAATTATGAAAGGTAGAGTTATCATTCATGTGCACTGCACACCTCCTGAGTGAGATCTATGCACCTATGAAGTTTCATGTTAATATCTCATAGGCTTTTGGAGTTATGCTCTGGACAAAAATCAATTTTGAAAAAAATAACAAAGGGCAATAACTCAAAATCATGCAAGGTAGAGTTATCATTCTTGTGCACTGCACTCCTCCTCGATGAGGTCTATCCACATATAACATTCCTCCTCAATAAGATCTATCCACCTATTGACATTTCATGTTGATATCTCAAACACTTTTTGAGTTATGCTCCACTCAGGTGAAAAAAATAGGTATGAAAAATAACAAAGGGCAATAACTCAAAAATTATGAAAGGTAGAGTTATCATTCATGTGCACTGCACACCTCCTGAGTGAGATCTATGCACGCTATGAAGTTTTCATGTTAATATCTCATAGGCTTTTGGAGTTATGCTCTGGACAAAAATCAATTTTGAAAAATAACAAAGGGCAATAACTCAAAAATCATGCAAGGTAGAGTTATCATTCTTGTGCACTGCACTCCTCCTCAATGAGGTCTATCCACATATAACATTCCTCCTCAATAAGATCTATCCACCTATGACATTTCATGTTGATATCTCAAACACTTTTTTGAGTTATGCTCCACTCAGGTGAAAAATTAGGTATGAAAAATAACAAAGGGCAATAACTCAAAAATTATGAAAGGTAGAGTTATCATTCATGTGCACTGCACACCTCCTGAGTGAGATCTATGCACCTATGAAGTTTCATGTTAATATCTCATAGGCTTTTGGAGTTATGCTCTGGACAAAAATCAATTTTGAAAAATAACAAAGGGCAATAACTCAAAAATCATGCAATGTAGAGTTATCATTCTTGTGCACTGCACTCCTCCTCAATGAGGTCTATCCACATATAACATTCCTCCTCAATAAGATCTATCCACCTATGACATTTCATGTTGATATCTCAAACACTTTTTGAGTTATGCTCCACTCAGGTGAAAAATTAGGTATGAAAAAATAACAAAGGGCAATAACTCAAAAATTATGAAAGGTAGAGTTATCATTCATGTGCACTGCACACCTCCTGAGTGAGATCTATGCACCTATGAAGTTTCATGTTAATATCTCATAGGCTTTTGGAGTTATGCTCTGGACAAAAATCAATTTTGAAAAATAACAAAGGGCAATAACTCAAAAATCATGCAATGTAGAGTTATCATTCTTGTGCACTGCACTCCTCCTCAATGAGGTCTATCCACCTATGAAGTTTCAAGTTGATAACTCAAATACTTTTAGAGATATGCTCCGGACAAAAATGTCGGACGGAAGGACGGACGGACGGAGGGAAGGTCAGACGGACGGACTGACGGACGGAGACTATTTCTATATCCTCCCCCGAAAATTTTCGGCGGGGGATAATAACTTATCAGTGGGTGCCAAATACTTTTTTAAATAACTAATTAACATAGCATAGTCCAATCAAATAAAACATAAACAAGCTGATGAATGTATGTATGTTATTAGACTTTAAACAGTTGATAACAATATCAACTGCCCTAAATCCAATATATAAGCATTTTCTTTATTGACTTTCTACCTTTTTTGTTTCAGAAAGATATAAAATTTATCAAAAGTAATACAATCAAACATTTATATAAAGGTCAGACTTATAATATTAGAAATTTGGTCTCTTAAACCAAGAACACATGTACTGTATGTTAATTGTTGGAACAGGTAAGTAATGTACAGTAAGTTTTCTCAAACAATATTGAGCAAGAATACTTTTAACAAATGGTTAACAGTGCATAATGTCACAAAAATAAAAGTTTTGAAATGATACATTCATAGTAAGTTAATACAAATCATGTAATAAAACTTATATACTGTGAACTATGTAACAAAACATTAATGTTATGTGATGTCACAAAAATAGTGAAAACAAGTATAACATCCCGGTGTATTAAAGTTAGTAAAATCACAATATGAGCCGCACCATGACAAAACCAACATAGTGCGTATGCAACCAGCATAGATCCAGGCCAGCCTGCACATCCGCGCAGTCTGATCAGGATCCATGCTGTTCGCTATTAGTTTCTCTACTTGTTATAGCGTTTGCAAGCGGACACCATGCTGGTCGCAAATGCACTATGTTGGTTTTGTCATGGTGCGTCTCAGTTATATGTAACAATGACCAATAATAATACAAAGCCAACAAAAACTTACCATATATGTTTTAGAACAGATGCAAAAGGTGTAACACCTATTCCAGCAGCAACAAAAATATCAACTTCATACGAGAAAATATCTTCTGTAGCTGTACCAAATGGTCCATCCACTGCCACACTGTTATATAACATAAATAACATATTGATATATAACAAAAACTCACAATGTTGTTTCTGTCATTTAACATGCTTAATCTTCATAAAAACCTGAGCATTTAGTCCCGTTAGGTAAAGAAATACTATAATTTGAAGCACATCATTCTAACATCTTATTATTCAAATGAGAAAGTAAAATGGAGACATATATGACAGATGATCTACAAGTGGTCTATATTTAAAGGTGGTCTTAATCAGAAGTATGCAGACTTATTCAAGAGTTATCTTTTCCTTTCCATTTCAAAATTAAACTTATATTCCTCTTCCATGGCAATTAAATTAAATAACTGCTTTAAACATTTTCTTTTACAATGAGTAATATACATGACATTATTGTTGATCATTTTCTTTTATATTTGAATTTTTTGGGGTTTAATTTCATTACCAACACAGTGAAAATCATATGGCACCTTTCAAGCGTTACTGGTGCAGGAAAATGTCAGGTGCCCCGTGGTGCATTATTTCAGACACAAATAGGCACCTGAGTAGAACCATCGACTTTCTGTAAGCTTCCTTACATGAAAGAATCCAAAGTCCCTGGCAAGATTCCAACTCATAGTTCTAAAGGGCAAAAGGTTTAAAGTCAACAACCATAACCACTTGACCACGGATTCATGTGTATAGTACTACAACCATATGACATATTATGATATAACAACAGACTTTATCAACTGTGTACCTAGGTAGTTTCCAAGTTTCTTTGAACTCAGCTTCATCCACATGACATGCCTTCGCAAGGTCATTGGTCCAGTTACCTACTCGTCTAATATGTACGGAGAAATAATCGTCATCTGGGGCCTGTAAGTCATAAGACATCAATTTAAAATTGTAATTCTAACATACCACACATTTGTACATTCTATTTCAAATATTTCAAATCTATGGAAGTCTTCATTTTTTTAACTTTGTTTCATAAAAAGCTTGAAATCATTGAATAATCAAAGCATGCAAGCTTACTATTGTTCAATAAATTTGAATAAGAAGTTAAATTTTTTTAGTGGTTTCTCTGGAATTTCCTAAAAATCATTTTCACTACTAACTCCCCATTTCATTTTGTTGATACAACATGCAAAAATAGACAAGAAAACTAACTAAATCTAGCATTTTGTTAGCATTGTACACTTACTGATGTAAGGGTGAATGGATGCCATTCGAGGTAGGATATTTTTGGACAATGTAAGAAGATATATTGACCAGCACCCATTCTAAACCCTCTCTTCTTCATCTGCAACTCAAATACATTGGACGGATGCTTAACCACCTGGATAAAAAAACAATAAACTGTAATTAAAATTATATTAGTTACCTGTAACTTCAGTAACTTTTATTAGTAATTTATATATGAAATTGGTCATAGCCACTCACCGCTACAACAGTATATGTCTGTTTTTGAATCCCCTTAACAGCTTCTGATGCTATCATGTAAGGAAACTACCCAACTACTCAGATGTTGTGATCTAAGACCAGACAAAACAACAAGAGCTGTCGGTAGGACAGCAACGCTTGACTATTCTTAGTGCTTGATAGTAAAAAAAATGCTTGATACAGATACTTCCTCCTGTTTACAGGTTGGGGTAATGATGGTGAACAAGTGTGCAAAGTTTCAAAGCCATATGTCAATGGACTTTGAAAATATTTGAACTATTACAAAAACTTTAACGTAAATTCTAAGTCGAAAAAGGGGCATAATTCTGTCAAAATGCTTGATAGAGTTACCTCCTCCTGTCTATAGGTTGGGGTAATGATGATGAACAAGTGTGCAAAGTTTCAAAGCCATATGTCAATGGACTTTGAAAATATTTGAACTATTACAAAAACTTTAACGTAAATTCTAAGTTGAAAAAGGGGCATAATTCTGTCAAAATGCTTGATACAGTTACCTCCTCCTGTTTACAGGTTGGGGTAATGATGGTGAACAAGTGTGCAAATTTTCAAAGCCATATGTCAATGGACTTTGAAAATATTTGAACTATTACAAAAACTTTAACGTAAATTCTAAGTCGAAAAAGGGGCATAATTCTGTCAAAATGCTTGATAGAGTTACCTCCTCCTGACTATAGGTTGGGGTAATGATGGTGAACAAGTGTGCAAAGTTTCAAAGCCATATGTCAATGGACTTTGAAAATATTAAAACTATTACAAAAACTTTAACATAAGTGGTTACGCCGACGCAGACGCCGACGCTCGGGTGACTACAATAGCTCTACTTATTCTTATCGAATAGTCGAGCTTAAAAACTTAAATTACTTTGTGGTTGTAAATTTATATAATATTTCTGATATGACCCCAGGTGTTGCTATAAGTTTGAAACACCCGAGGTTAGCCAAAATTATTTTTCCTGTTTCAATGCCATATCACCTAAATTGTGTTAGTGCCAAACAAAACAGAGAAACAAATATTTTTGACAGTATACAATATATAAATACTTACCTTACTTATCACAACTTGCTGCTTTGAACGTATAAATCTTACACCTCTTTCTATAAAATACAGTATTAGTGGACCAATAACCCATTTCCATGTCTGTAATATAAGAACATACATGTATACTTAGATTTCTCAGTGTATTTAGTATCTCAAAACAAATCATATACAACTAGAAATGTGTCCATAGGACACGGGTGCCCCCACCGCGCCACTGTTCTGTCAATCTTTTTACTAAGTCAAGGGAAATAACTCTACAAATACTGGATAAATCCACAAGCGAAACCCCAGGTGCAAATCTAAATATGCTGAGCAACCTGCCCATAAGGTTTAATGACTATGTCAAATCCTTTTTGAGTAACTTGCGACACATGTTGAAAATTGCAAAAATTTTCTAAGTGAAGGGCAATAACACTAAAAATACTAAATAAATCCAGACGAAAATACCTGGTGCACAACTGCACATGCTGATCAATATTCCTGTAAAGTTACATGACTCTAGGTCAAATACTTTTTGAGTTACGTGCGACACAAGTTGAAAATTGCAAAATTTTACTAAGTCAAGGGCAATAACTCTGAAAATACTAAAAATATCCAGACGAAAATACCCAGGTGCACAACAACACATGCTGATCAACATTCCTGTAAAGTTTCATGACTCTAGGTCAAATACTTTTTGAGTTACATGCGACACAAGTTGAAAATTGCAAAATTTTACTAAGTCAAGGGCAATAACTCTGAAAATACTAAAAATATCCAGACGAAAATACCAAGGTGCACAACTACACATGCTGATCAATATTCCTGTAAAGTTTCATGACTCTAGGTCAAATACTTTTTGAGTTACGTGCGACACAAAAGTGAACGGACGGACGGACAAGGGTAAATCTAAATGCCCGCCACTAACGTGGGGGCACAAAAACTAACTGATAAACAAAAAATACACTCATTTTACAATAATGATACAAAATAGAAGATAATTATTTCTCATTCCCATTTTGTAAATAAAATATTTAAGTCTAAAAAAATGACATATACATTTTTTTCTGTACTTGAATTTATTACAATACGCACATCAGCAGTAATAAAATCAAACAGTATGATCATGTAATAGTGAATTAGTTTCTTTATAAATCCATCTAATTTTGGACAACAAAGGACTCCTGATACAAATGTACTATCACTTTCACTGCTGTATATTTTACCATTAAAAATGACATGAAAGAAATCAGAAAATATTCTTTTCAAAGATATAAACAATATGCTGTAGCAAATTAAAAACAAGTTAGGTTTCTGAGGAGATGGTATAAAGGTAAAAATGATTTTATCAACTGTTCTTAACAAAGAGAAAATCTGAAGTTAAACAATAAAAGATTTCTTACACCTGGACTTGAAGCAGCAAATTGTGGAAATGGACATTCATCAATTTTACCCCATTCATCATATTTATATTGACAAGCCTCGGGGTCGTGTACATCTGTATTTGTCTGACCACGCACTATACCTCTGTAACATACATGCAAAAATAAGCCACTTCATGACAAAACCAACATAATGGGTTTGCTACCAGCATGGATCCAGACCAGCCTGCGCATCCGCACAGTCTGATCAGGATCCATGCTGTTCGCTTACAAACCCTATTACAAGTAGAGAAACTGATAGCAAACAGCATGGATCCTGATCAGATTGCGCGGATGCGCAGGCTGGTCTGGATCCATGCTGGTCGCAAACCCATTATGTTGGTTTTGTTGTGACGCAGTTCAAATAACTGCTTACATTAACATGTTAAATACATGTAATCAGAAAAAAAAATGTGATATCATAATGTTTTCAAAAGAATTTAATAAACAATATGATCATGCAATAACAGGTTAATACCGTATAAGTACTTATTTCTGCGGGCTTAATATTCTGCGATTTTTGTTAAAATAAGGGGTTTTAAATTTCTGCGTATCTTATTTCTGCGGTGTCATCCTTCACACATTGGTGCGCTTTATTTCTGCGTTTTAAAGTTATTAGTACATTATTAACCAATAAAAAACAGACAACATTTATATATTTGTTGATGTTACATTACTTCACAGGAACTTGAAATTCTATCAAATAACCAATAATAATGATAATATCCAAATATACCCCCTATATACTATAAGTTTTTTTTATATAATAGTGGGGTATATTTTGCATATTATCGTTAATATTGATAGAATTTCAAGTTCCTGTGATTACTTCCTGTTTAAATACAGATGAATGATAATGGATCTCGTTGTAACCATCAAGTTTCGGTATATACGCGTTAATTAAGAAAGAAAAATGCAATGACAATAATTTTAATACTGTATAAATACTATATGTATAAATAAGAAGTGTGAAAAATAAACAATAGCGTAATCGCACATTATAAGACACCAGAAATTGTACAAACACAAAAGAGTTTGTTTATTGCATGTTTAAATGACAATAACAAACAAAGGTCATTTTGATATTATATCGTTAAATATATTTCAAAATGAGAAAATTAAAACAGCGGCATAAACAACGATATAAATCGGACACAATTTTAGTATTTGATTGCAATAATAAACAATATAGATGTTTCTGTTAACTAGAGCCAATACAATACACCCGTCAAACTATAATTATAATAATTAAAAAAACTATTTACCAAAACTATAATCTCTACAAAAACCGATAACGATACATGGTACTGTAATTATACAATAACTGTAGATGAAATATTCCAACATATACATAGAGGAAGGCTTAATTTTCTGCGGTTTTTAAATCTGCGGTGTAATGACGAACTGCAGAAATATCAGAAATAAAGTTCCGCAGAAAAAAGTACTTACAGTATACGGTATGCACACCAGTGGAAAATATGAATAAATAAGATAATAATAGTTTAACTGTTAGAGTGTCAGCAGCAATAGGGCCAGGCCAGCCAGCTTATTTGTAAAGTCTGATTAGGCTTTATACTAATAAAAAAAATAAAGCATGTGAAACACATGAAACAAAGTTGGTCAGGTGACAGTAAGTTTATTAAAGACCTATGTTACGCCTATTCAATAGCCCCATCAGATGACAAACATATTAGAAATTATTACTAAGGTACAGATTTGACGGTTCTTTTATCATGTGATCAAATCTATTTTTAGAAATGATTGTTGAGATGGTCCTTTGTCAGTAGATAATTATTTGTATGTGTATATACAGGCTCTATACTAAACAATTTTACTACTATGAATGCAATGTGGACGACTTACTGTAATCCATGGACACATATTCCGATGAAGAACAACACAAACAAATGATGTGTAAACCAGAACAGCTCAAAATATGATCTCCTAAAATGATTAAAATAATAAAGGATTAGTTTCAAATGCATATGATTTCTTCATATAGCCATTAAGTACAATAATACCCTACAGAAAATATTGACAACTGAAATCATACTGAAGTCATCTAATGACAGCAAACAATAACCTCCATTTACCAAGTGAATTCTGCAATAGTTCACAATATAACTTAGGAAATCATTTGTTAATTTTTCATTTACATAAAGGAAAGACAGTGTGGTAAAAACCTGTATTTCCCATTACATATCAGTAGATAATTGCCATGTAACACATATGTTCAATAGATATCAGTTTTAATAATTACCGCGTATAACCCTCTGTTGATGAAGCTGACCATAATTATTAAAGCTAGGATAGCAAACAAGTCCTGAAGATACCCGCAACCGTCTTTACTACAAACAAAGATGGTTCCTGAAATATATATATGGCTAGTGGATAATTAAACTATTTGTTATCTTGGTAAAGTGTGAGAACTGCAAACTGACAAGTTATGATAAATAACATTTCCAATTTATTATATAAACTATTTATTATATACTTATAAATGAAATATTCAATATTGATAAAATAAAATGTATATCTCATTCTCCATATTTTCACAGCAATGAAGCATATTTTCCATATTTTCAGTGGTGTCTTGTTGAACTACTTTCTGCTAAATTCAGCCAATATACAAAATTAAAGAGAAAGTCTTTCAAACTATGATGTCAAAAGAGAGAAAGATGTATACAATAAACAGGATATTCATGTTTTTTTTCTATAAATACAGGATTTATTTTCATCTTGTGCTATAAGAATTATCATATTTCACTAATCGCTACCGCCACTCATGAAATATCTATTTTCATACCACTCAATGAAAATAAATCCTGTATTTATAGAAAAAAATTGAATATTCTCTATAATACATGTATAAATATATAAAAAGCTAAATAAATACATAAAAAAGCTTCTACAAGGCCTAAAAACTAACAGCCTTAAATCTAACAGAAGGTTCAACCTTGAAATATTTCATTCTTCACTGAGCTACATGTATCAATTTATCCTAACTTTGTCGATATGATTCATTACTAAAGATTTTGAAGCCTAGAGTAAATTGAATTGCAAGCAATGTTTTACAGTAATTACAAGTATATATGTAACATAGATTTCACTTCCAGGTATAGATTTACCCTGATCAAAGGCATACAATTTCAGTACAGAAAACATGGGTTAAATATCAATACTTATTTCCTTCTTTTCTGCTTAACATTAATTAAGGAACAATAAGAATAAAACTAAAGACAAAATACAGCATAATATTTACAAATACATCTAACAAACACTTATATCAAAATACATGTACACTTATGTCATGCTTTACATTCTATGGTATTTTCAATTAAAGACGTTTTCAAGAGTTTTCATATAGACATATAGGCATATAGGCAAAATTAAAACTATTAATACTTAGTTTTATGAAATTCTTTTGAATGCCTATATGTCTATATGAAAACCTAAAAACGTCCTTAAAACTATTTTTATCACCATGTCTATGAGATAATAGTTTAATATAAACTATATCCACAAACCTCAGTAGCATCTCTAACAGGGTTAATATATGTCTCGTATGGGTTACCATCATCAAGGTTACTAAGAGCAGAGAGAACTCCTTTTACATTTTCCTCGTCTGATTCAATATCTTCTTCTGTAATGCCATTATGAGCAAACAAACATACGTTCTCATTAAACACATGTGATCCGATATGTACAGCTGTAAATAAAACAAAGAATATCTAAATCTTTATATAAAACTTCATGGTAAAATTTATGTTTAAACTGTCTCAACTGTTTACAATGATCATTGGTACCAAACAATGGAGTTTTGTCGAAAACTTTCTTTCCTCAAGAAATGAGAGCTTAAGATACATTTTTACAATAGAGTAAACTCTGCTTATAACCATATTTAGGGACCGCATCCAATTTACATTGTTTATATCTGGATATTGTTATATATAAGAGGGCAATAAACCCGAAAACAAGAGTCGGGCCACGATGAACATAAGCATCTTTATAAGGAATATCGTTATAAGCAATGTAGTTATTGGAGCTTACTGTTTTTTGTTTTTTTAAATCCAGTTAAATGTCCACTTTCAGATGCTACATATATTTACACTTCATGGAAATTTTCAGTAAATACAATGTACAAAGTTCAAACTAGAAGGGTTTTTTGTCACAAAAAACATATGTCTCCCAAAACTATGTATGGTCAGCTCATGTGATGTTTTCATTGAAATCCACCAGTAGCTTGACCTGTGAAAAGCCAGAAAAGAATTTTTTTATTTATAGCTCTGACGGCATAATGTGCAGAAAAGCAGAACATGCTGGTGACGTGCACAAGCTAGGGATGGTACTGATCACTCCTGTAAGTTTGGTTGAAATCCCACAGTAGTTTGACCTGTGAAGGGCGGACAAGATTTTTTTTTTCTATTTTAGCTCTGGGCAGCCTATTTGTGCAGCGAAGCAGAACATAAAAAAAAAAAAAAAAAACGGGTGATGTGCACTGCACAACTAGGGGTGGTTCTGATCACTCCTGTAAAGTTTGGTTGAAAATCCCACCTGTAGTTTGACCTGTGAAGGGCAGACAAGCTAAATACGGACAGACAACGGGGACGGACGGACAGACAGACGGCAAAGGCAAAAACAATATGTCTCTCCAAAAATTTTGGGGAACATAATGATTCGTATATACACTTACCAGTATGTAGACAGATCAATATAAGCTATATATCTATGGAATGTTATATGTTTGTCCAACTGTCGTCTCACTGACTTCTTTGCAGCATCTCTGAAAGATTTTTTTAAAAGTACCTAAAAATTACTTCAAAAAAAGCATGACTGACAAATAAATTAGAAATTACAGATTCACTTTTTTGGTACAATTGAAAACTAGTTATAATTTTTTTGAAGGATCAACTTTGAGTATATCTTATGTATTTTATGTACATGTATTACTAGTATTTGAAATAAAACTTTTTTTATCAAAAGCAAAGCAGTATTTTTTGTTAAAATCATTTGATTTAATAGAAGACAAAAATAATGTACGCAGAAAATGTACATTAAATTGATTTCTCATTTCTATAAAAGGAATGCTGGATTATAGAAACAGCATCTTTTATATTATGAGAATTTTCATTTCGTGAATTCAGCACTGTTAAGGCTTATGAACTGTTAATTCTATAATTTACAAAAAACACAAAATAAATCATTTTCTTTATTGACAACTTAAGTACAAGTACTGGTAATATATATAAATTTATATAATTCTCACCTTTAAAGATCCCCTGAGAAAGGAAAGGAGGTTACGACAAACAGGAAACAATATTAACATACAGTTGAGGTTAAGGCATGCAGCACTAGCCCTCGCCCATGGTAATGCATCCTAAATACAAACAAATGCACATACATGTATAATATCATCTATAAAATTATTTTAATTAAAATTAATCAATTAATATTTATAAAAATAATAAATTTTTATAAATGTCAGTATTAAAGCTAACCACACATATTATTGGGTATATTTTAAATTGTTATTATATTTCTATAATTCATATATTTCTGTTTGAAGGAAGCAGTGGCCTAGTTTTTAAAGTTGTCTGGCCTCTCAATCCAGGAAACATGGGTTTCAAGCCCTACTTTGGACATGATCAGGTGACACCAGCACTGGTAAGTTTTTAGCAAGTACAGTTTTCATAATCAAGCTTAAATAAGAAGATTGTATTGTTATACACTTGTGCATCATCTCAAGGATCATCAACATGAAGAATGTCCATAACAGACCTTTAATGCTTTATAGTTTTTGAAACTAAAAATGAATAGTAAGAGCCACAATGTAGTGTTTACTTCAGTAGTAACATATAAAGGTATTATGGATAGCTATGAAATGAAAAATCCAATGCCCTGATAAACTTACCCCTACAATAAGCCTGAGATAGTAGAAATCTGCCGACTGTTTATATAGCAAGTAAGCATACACAAACATCCCTATGTTGCCTGCTATCCATACAGCCTGAAATCAAAGATGGTACAATATTGTTTACAACATAATATATAATTATCTATATTCTGTCAGAATGTTTCAGAAACAATATATGTTGGGGGTGGTGGGGGGGGGGGGGGGGTCACCACGATATTTTCCTTGAGATTTATTTGTTTTAACTATTACAAAACTCTCAAAAATCTTCTTTGACACTACAATACCAAAACTATCTAGTAGGCCTCTACAAAAAAGTGTACATTGTATTTCAAAATCCATATATCAATTTCTATGTATACAAATGTATTATGACCATAATGAATCACTTGATTTTATTTGTTTTACATTTTGGTAGAATCTGCTGCTGGCAGCAGGCTAAGGCTTCATATGAAAGGAAAAAAGTGTTTGTTTTTATTGAACAAATTATATACTTCACCTGATTTGCATTCTTTTAGTTCTGTTGATCACTAGTGCAGATTAACTTTATCCATGATTATATAAGAAATTTGTTCAACATCAACTATAGTTAATATTATTGTTTTATATTTTCTTCCCCTTGTGCTAGAGTTTAATACTATGTTTTTGGAAATAAATATAATACCGGTAATTAACTAATTGTAGCTAATCTTTTGATGTGTATCATGTACAGAACAAAATTTTCTGTATATTCAGTCAAACACAGTTCTATGTTAAAGACCTATCAAGACAGAAAAATAGTTCTACCAATTTTGAGTTACCCACAGTGCAGGAATAAATGCTTTATGATTGTTTAATAATGATGTACATAAGTTTACCTTAATCTACTGACCCAAAATTAATTAGCGTCTGTCACTAGTATTGAGCATGGCCAGCATTCACACCTGTGTGGTCTGACCAGGCTCTTTATTTTCGTAGCTCATTTTATCATTCACTGATATTGAAATTCCTTAAAAATGGAATAGACTGTTCCAAATTCAAAGCAGGGCAAATCCATTACATATATTCAGCATGTTGGGGGTTAAAATCATCACAAAATTAACAAGAGCCATGTCAACATGGCCATCCCCCGCCGAATGTGTTTGCTCATTGGAAGAATGTATATGTAGTAGAGCGGAATAATTCCATTTTAAGAGGTCTTTTGGTAATGAAAACTGATGGCTATAATGATTACAGATTTGAAACCTATGTGAAAACTGATGGCTGAAAATAACAAAGGGCAATTACTGAAAAATAATGCAGGGTAGGTTATCATTCTTGTGTGCTGCATCCCTCCTCAGTAAAATCTATCCACCTATGAAGTTTCAAGTTGATACCTCAAATACTTTTTGAGAAAAAAATTGAATTGAAAAATTAAGTATGAAAAAGAACAAAGGGCAATAACACAACAATTATAAAAGGTAGAGTTATCATTCTTGTGCAGTGCACACCTCCTGAGTGAGATCTATGCACCTATGAAGTTTCATTTTGATATCTCAAAAGCTTTTTGAGTTATGCTCTGGACAAAAATTAATTTTGAAAAATAACAAAGGGCAATAACTCAAAAATAATGCAGGGTAGAGTTATCATTCTTAAGCACTGCACTCCTCCTCAATGGAGATCCATCCACCTTTGAAGTTTCAAGTTGATACCTCAAATACTTTTTCAAATAAGCTCTGGACAAAATAGCATGAAAAAAAACAAAGGGCAATAACTCAAAAATTGTATAGGAAGAGTTATCATTCTTGCGCACAACATTCCTCCTCAATAAGATCTATCCACCTATGACATTTCATGTTGATATCTCAAACACTTTTTGAGTTATGCTCCACTCAGGTGAAAAATTAGGTATGAAAAATAACAAAGGGCAATAACTCAAAAAATTATGAAAGGTAGAGTTATCATTCTTGTGCACTGCACACCTCCTAAGTGAGATCTATGCACCTATGAAGTTTCATGTTAATATCTCATAGGCTTTTGGAGTTATGCTCTGGACAAAAATCAATTTTGAAAAATAACAAAGGGCAATAACTCAAAAATCATGCAAGGTAGAGTTATCATTCTTGTGCAGTGCACTCCTCCTCAATGAGGTCTATCCACCTATGAAGTTTCAAGTTGATAACTCAAATACTTTTAGAGATATGCTCCGGACAAAAATGTCGGACGGAAGGACGGACGGACAGAAGGACGGACGGAGACTATTTCTATATCCTCCGCTTTTTCGGCGGGGGATAATAAATTGCTATACATTTTTTTGCAGAATTGGAACCATTTAATTTGAATATATTTACATACAGGTCAGAACCATATCAGCCTGTTACACATCTATATCTAATACTGGAGTTTAGATCTTCTCAAAAAAGCTTTCTGCTACTTTCAATGAATGTATTTACATTGTGTAATATATTAAACTAATACAGTACAGTAGGCAGTATAGTCGGGTAAAAAATTCCCATCCCTATAGAAAAAGTTTTTTTACAGGGATGGGATTGACTTTTTTTTTAATCAGATTTTACTGCTATTATTGACAGGATTTCAAGCCGACATTTACATTTTCTAAATTAAAAGCCAGGCAAGTCCAATATATAAAGCCAGGAGGGGGGGAGTAGGTATGGTCACTGAATGATTACCGTACTTGTACATAAATGTTATATTTGGTTTGGTCATTAACCTTTAGCCAACAAGCCTTTGCCATCAGCCAGGCTAACCTGCAAACCTGTGCAGTCTCACCAGGCTCTTTACTGTTGATAGCTCAATTTTTGTAATTCAAAATATAAATCCCTTAAATTTAACATGAACTGTTCCAAATTCAAAACTGGATAAATCCATTAATCAAAGTCAGGAGGTCAAGGGTTAAATAGTTTAATGTGTGATGTTCTCACAATTTCTAGGAATTGTGTGGCTATTTTTAGACTAGATTTGACAAGTTTGGTTTAAGCCAATAGAATAACAAAATAATCAGGAGAGTGGTCACATGACTGTATGACACAATTAAATTGATATTCTTCTAAATATTGACAATGTTACCATTACAGTCATGGCTATCATAATACTGTAGGCGTTCTAGATCAATAAATAAAGGTAAATATTGATTTATTTAACTTGAACATTTTAAATGATTTATAAAATATTTATTCTTTATTTCACTAGCCATTCTGAACATAAATTTATTTCTGCCCTATTCAGTAATACTGTTACAATAAGATAAAAATATTAATTCTAAATGTTTCAATCTGGCCTAATCCTTTTTAATTTCATAATGAAACATTGAATACTAGCAGTAATATAAATCATTATCTGCTATTCATAACTGGCATCTGTATTACAAATGGTTAACAGCCTATGAACTGATGAACCCCCCCTTTCTGC